CCTTGGATTTGACTGGCCACTGTAACCTTTTCGATAAAGCTCCAAGCTTTTGCACACATTATCTAATTAGAACTTGTCATTAAAAATCCGCGTCATTTTGTTGTCTGCCGAGAGCAGTGCCATTCATCGCTGCAATTAAAGTGCATCTCAGCTAGCATTTTAGCCTCGAAGCCGTGGGATTTTTGCTTTTGTTCTAAGCAATCCCAGGCGCACATTAGCACATACGTATGTATACATTGAAGTGCGTTTAAAAGGTTAATAACGACGCTATTATATAAACCCTTTCGCAAAGCATCCGGTAGCTCCGGTTAATTATTCCGCTTTCCGATTCGCGTTCTGCTTTCATTTCTTTTAAATGAAGTGTCGAGACGCAGACATTCTTTTTTCAACCACTACAATTTGTATGCGTAAAAGACTGGACTTGAATATGATTTTCTATTTACTAAAGTGTAAAATTGATTTCATGTTACAACAAAATTGCAGCTGTAGTTGCTTTTTAACCAGTTTTAACGACTTTTTGATAACTGTTGTGGTGTACATAATACTGTATTTTACCGCAATAAAAGAAATTTTGAAGTGAGTCTTCATAGAAAAAGACTATTTAATTATAAAATTCAAATTGCCTGATTTTATATTATGTGGCCTTCCGTTGTGGAAAAAGACTGTTTTAAGTCTAGTTAAAAACAAGTCAACTTAAGCATATAATGAACGAAAAGAGAATAATAATAATCAATTAGTATCAGAACAATAAAATAATTCGAAGTGGTCTGTTGTCTGTCGAAACTGCCAGACGCGGATCGCGATTTCGATCTTTTTGGATCTCATCAGCGCGTCGCAGGCAGCTCCGACAGAACACAGACCAACTTTCACCTGCTGTCTTAACAGCGCGTTTTAGAAAATACCACAAATGGCACGGTAAACGCCATCTGTAGTACGATGCTACATTTTAGAATTACGTATGCTCCAACAAGGTCCATTTAAATATATGGATATCTACTTGCTGAAACGAATCGCGGCGTAGCTAACCTCAACGTGATAGGCACGTTAGCTTAATCGAATAAAATAATTCGAAGTGGTCTGTATATGTAATCCTAAAATGTAGCATCGTGCTACAGATGGCGTTTACTGCGCCATTTGTAGTATTTACTATTTAATTCTATCATCCTATTCAGGAGCATATACAGAGATGAAGGAAATTTTGTGGGGGTACAGGTCATGCCTCATTCCCATGAATTGAACAGAAAGTAATGGATAATTGGGCATTTCAAAGCCAGATAACTCAATGGTTTCTATTTCTAATTATGCAGTTTTGTTGATATGGCTTATATGTAATTTAGTGACTGACTTCGAGTTTTTCGTCTATAAATCATTGTATCGATGGATTTATTTCTTCGCTCCAATCGTCCAATTTTTTCAAGTTATTGGTTGAGAATTTGCATAACTGAGTTGACTTTGACCTTTAATCTACTCCTTGGCGACCCTTTGTCTACATTCAATAAATATCAATTACTCACCAAAGAGAGCACCGTGTTGATGATTTAGATTACAAACCAATCAGTTATTTACTTATACAAATTTTATGAGACAAAAGGCAGATTCTGTGAACTTTTATTACTCGCAAAATCCTAAAACTCTAATTCAAAATCCAAATTTTTGAAATAAACAGTCAGTACGTAAATTTCAATCAAAAGCAACAACTCTAAATCAATTTGTATTAACGAATTATTGTTATTGACGAATTAATTATTATCAATGCATAAGCGAAATCCCATTTGATACACTTTTTTTAACTGAAATTTTGATTTTAGTACACATTTAAAAGTACATTTGGTAAAGGTTTAGATGATGGCCCCCCACCCCCGAAGAGGGTGGGTGTGGGTGGGATCGAAAGAGGAGGTCTGCCCCACCACTGTACCATAAAAAGTTCGTGGCGGTCTCACCCCCACAGAAAGTTATGGGGGTTAAATGATGACCCCCACACATTTCGGGGGTGGAGGTAGGGGGGATCGAAAGATGGTGGTAACCTGAGTGAAACCCCATAAAATGTTTGCGGCGGTCTCACCCCCATAAAAAGTTATGGGAGTTGAAAGTTGATTATTTTGACAATTTTCACACACTATAATTTAAGTAAAATTCAATAAAAAAATTATTTTCAAGCGGGTGGAGGTGGGGGATCGAAACAAGGTGGTCACTTAAACAAAACCCGATAACTTAACCTAACCTAACCTATTGATAAAGATATTTAAATAATGTTTTATATAACTTTCTCAATAATTTTATGCATTTTTCATTAGTTTCACCTTTGAATATTGTTTAAGAATGACTATATAAATATTTACATGCCTAGAAATGTATGAAAATTGGCATATTTATTGACTTTGAACCCCCATAACTTTTTATGGGGGTGAGACCGCCACAAACTTTTTATTGTACAGTGGTGGGGGAGACCTCCTCTTTCGAGCCTCCCACCCCTTCGGGGGTGGTGGCTATCATCTGGACCTTTACCGTACATTTATTTGTGTTTATTCGTAGGCATTACATTTGTCATTGTGTTGAGATAAATTTCTATGGCTTTGGATTTACGTAGAAATACTTATTCACAGCACACTCAAACAGATATCACCATAGTTTGCAGTTACAATGTTATTAAACGTGTCGTACAAGGAATGCAATTTAATACACTCGCTATCCAGGTGTTTGAAAGAATGTATTTAGCCTGGTACTCATTTATTATCTTAAAAGCGTTTGTGTAAATTCGTCGTGAATACAAATTAGCTGATGCACTATCAGCGGTTCGATCACACCACGCTCGTACTGGTCGGTGTTTCTTGTCGAATTCTAGTAATTATTGACTCGGAAAAGCTAGTGAACTTTGAGTAAATATTTGACGAATACATTAAAACAGTTAACATGTCATAAATTACATTTACTCGCTGACTTTTCGGATATACTTTTGTAAGATTTGATAAATAATCATTGTAAGAGTATGCCAATATCTGCTATTTTCTTAATACGAGGCCTTAAGATTAGGGTTGCCATCTCTAAAATTTGGAAACCAGGACAAGACAGACGAAAACCCCGGATTTTAGAGTCTAGAACCCGGACATGTCAACAGGTTTTTTTAAACATAGTCAGTGTAACAAAAAACAGTTGAAAATGTCATAAATCACCCTTTTATTTATTTTCAGACCTTAAAATTAAGTTTAGTCATTGTTTATCATCATTTTCAATGTACCTAACAAAACAGAATCTTATTACAGTTTGTTAGAAATTGTTTTAATAATCAGTTACATTTCTTTTACGTGTGTGGCGGGCGGCCCAAGACTTTAAATTTTTAAACCAGGACTACAAATGAAGACCCCCTGGCGCTCCCCGGATGCCCTCTAAACTAGGACAAATCCGGGGAAATCCGGACGGATGGCAACCCTACTTAAGATGCAGCTGAATATTTTTTTGATGTTGTTTGTTGTAATGAGCGAAATTCGTCTTGGTCTTGGACATGCCAAAATGCAAGACCAACACTTTCTTTGTACTAGCAAATCCAAGACCAAGGCTGAACGAACAAGACCAAGTGCGAAACGAACAAGGCCAAGACCGAACTAACAAGACCAAATAGCAAGACTAAACAAAAAATGATTACCTCCGATGGATTCCTAAGTTAAACAATTTGATGCAACTTTAATAGGTATATTCTTCTTTTGGAACAAATCATTTTTAGTATTTGAAATTTTCAGTTTATATAATAGATATAATAAATATTGAAAAAAAAGGGATCTACAAGAATGTCCTCAGAGTAAGTTTTATTTGTTCCTATGTCTGGATAACATGGTTGAAATAGAGACATACTAATTTTTTTTTTCGTTGTATTATTTTGTTCGTTAAAAGATCAATTTATGGGTGAGTTCTCGAGTTTTCGTAACTCACTACTATCGACACTATTTTCATTAAAAGTCATGACAAGCTCGCATGTACGACAGAAAATTTCAGAATTTAAGACAATTGTTGTTTCGTTAAATAGAAAAAATAGTCAGATTAAATGAGCAAGACCAAGACCGAGACTATATCAGCAAGACCAAGTAGACGTTTTTGAGCAAGACCAAAACCAATACGAAGACTGGGATAGTCTTGGCCTTGGTCTTACTTTGCTTATCACTAGTTGTGTGCGACGATAAGTTTTAAAATGGTCTTGAAATCATCTCGGGATTTTGAAATATTCTAAACTCACATTCCAAGAAGTGAATTTTTTAACCATTTCATTAGTATTACAGAATATTCAATATATATTATTAACACACTATTATACAGTGGCGTCGTTTGATCATATTTAATTCGTTATCATCATGGAGTTAGTCAGTTGTCAGTACCTTAGTACCAATCTTAATTGGTTGGATACGCATCTTTAAAGTAAATATCAAATTATTGCCTCCTTAAGTACTTTCCCAATTAACAGTTTACTCTTATAATTCCAATACGAATCATCATCATCGTTATCATCATAGGGTCTCCACTCTATCCTATCCTGAGCTAATCTTCGCATTTCCCTAAAACTAGAACAACCCACATCTTTAACTACAGTTCGCAAATAGTTACGGATGTGGGCTGTTCTAGTTTTAGGGAAAGGCGAAGATTAGCTTAGGATAGGAAAGACTGGAGGTACGAGTCCAACCAGTCTTAGGACTGATCGCCTTACGATGATGATGATGTCTCTGACTAGACCTTCATGCCTGAGAAGGTGTCCTACTTAGTTATCTCGCCTAGTTCTTATTGACTTCCATAGAATCCTCTGTTCTCCTATTCTTTCGAATACCTCTTCATTTCTAACCTTTATCCACGGTATCCTCATTATTCGCATATAACACCACATTTGAAACGTTTCTAACCTTTTCCTTCCCATTATTATTCGATTGTCTAGTTTTTTATGGAATACTCTGCTGTAACGTGTTTTACTATTTAACGCGAAAGTTGATTTGAATAGGGAAAAGTTGAATAAAGGAACTTACGTAATGTGATTCGGTCGAGTTGTATGACGGAACCGGTTTCGGAATCGGTAGCGAGCCATCCTGCGGGCGACGCTCTTGAATCGGACAAATCGCTGTCTGACCTCAGGTCGTCCGAGGTCTCTTCTTGGATAGTCTCCAGGTACATGTAGTGTTGACTGGCGTTTCCGTGCAAGAAAAGATCGGCATCTGAAATAAAAAAATATTTCAATTTAATATTAAGTAAATATTTGGTGATGACGCTTAAATATTTAAATATAATATAACGTGTAATTAGGGTACATGTAACCCTTAATGATGAATGTATACTACCCTCGTCTCATTTCATCTCAGTTCTTGACATACAATCTTTTTATTTCATTTAAAACAAAATTTTGTACTAAACAGTATGAAATAATTTTTAAGTATCGCATCAGCTACGAATGTTGGTAGGCAGGAATCATGGGAATGGGTGGATAGTAGTTGGTATGAGAAAGATGAGACGGACGAAATGAAGACAGAAGAGAGTGAATGATTGATTGTTTATCTGTGGAATATTACTGACTCCGCATTTGCTCAAGTGATCAAAGGAAACCTTAAGAAAACTTAGATCAGGGCAGGGAATCGAACCGGTGTTCTCTCGAATGCTAAGCAATGATCAAACCTCTTGGTTATGCCATTTTTGGACATACAATTCTGGGCAGTTATTATTATTTCATATTTAAACGAAACCATTTTACTTAACGAATTCTTTTTATTCAGCGTTCACATTTATTTTTAGTAAAATTTGAGCTCAATCGGGTAAAGGAAATGGGCGAAAAATCATCCACAAGTTTCTGCTTTTTGATTTCTTTACAATTTCTGCCAGTGTTTAATTGTTCCCAGTGGTTAATTTTGTTTAGTACCATACTGAAAAATTTCATCCTGAACCAACAAGAAACTTTCATTTGCTATGCTGTCTAAATTATTTTTAAACGGAACAGCCTTCAGAAAATAATAGAAAAGAATAGATCTTGACGATACAAACACACTGCACTGGCAGCATTGATTATAGGGCCTAATTGTTTATTTTTTATTTATAATCACGTGTCAATTTCAAGTCGATCGGTTAAGGGGAACTGGCTGAAAATTTGACTGTTATGTGCAAGTTTAGAACGGTGTAACTTATAAAATACAAACCCACAAGTTTTCGGTCACTTTCTCCAGTCAATAATTTATACCATAATACTGTAGTAACAACCTGAATGACTCATGATAATGAGCACATTATATTTGTTTGTTATACTCATATAGGTATTTAATTTAACAAAAGTGTGTTACTTATTTATACATATATAACACTTACGGAATAAGTATACAAGCATTGGCGTCTCTCTTACCCCCTTGAATTTCTAAACAAAACAAATTAAGCGCTGATCGACGGAGCTGGAATGAGCAAAAACAGATCATTGATATTGATCTATTCAGCCCTTAATATTATATTGAAGGTGGGGAAAGCCATGTTTCGAACGTCTTCAATACAACATAATATCTAACAACTGAGCAAGTGTTATAGTTTGCTCACCGTCTTCACCGGAATAGTGATAAATTGCGTACTTCTAGTAGATAACGCGTTTTCGCTGATAACGTATGATGTCATAATGGCCGATTCCTCAGTTAAGTTTAGAAAATATAGTCTATTTCAATTTGTTAGAATTGTGACCTTGAAGAAATCTGCGCGAATATAGAAAGAATACACACTACGCGTGAGCAAGACGGAATAAGTTGGAACAAGCTTGAACGAGCAGAGCTCTCGATGGGCGAGCTTAGGAGATTGGCTAGAAATGTACAGTACTAGACGAAAATGTTTAGCAATTTCTTAAAACAAACATATATATATAAATTAACAATAGAAAACAAAGCAAAAGTTTTATAGGTGTATAGAAGGTTAAGTTACTTCACTTGTAATTATTTTTGGCTAAATATGCTTTTAAATGAAGCATATTCTTAAATTTTAACGAGACGGTTTAAATAATTTTGCAAATGGTACTGTACACTTTTGTCTAGTTCTCGCTCGATGATCGGTGGAGAAATGAGCTCCGCAGACAAATATGATTGAATTTGGAATTATGCTACGGCGCATCCTAATAAGAGGAAGGGGCATATCTCTAACTTCTTGAAACTAACAGTAAACAATTATATCTATACACTTGGAACCGCCACTGCTTCAAGAGTATACATACGTACATTCGGAACAAATAATGTCTACAATTCTCGTCGTTATTGAACCAACAGGCTATTCGTTTCTGATAACTGTAGAAACCGTGTGACGTGTTAAAATAGATTGAAAATTAATACTTTATATATGCCAATCAATAATAATAATAATTGAATGATGCCGTGTATCCGGTGTTCGATTGCTAATGAGAATGTTGTAGATTCAATTTTTTTTTGTAGGGCATACATAAATTTATTATAATGCGACATTAAACTTAAACAGTTGACCGTGTTTGACATTTTAATTTTACGGAAATGACTGAGAAGGTATCAATGGTTTCCCTTGCTTCATTAACCCTCAAAAGTTTTTGAGCAAACATTTAGTGAGTTGAACATGTATATACGAGGGTGGATTGATAAGTTTCCGGCCTGACCAAGAAAAACAAGGTTTTTAAAAATTTTTTTTTTTTATTTCTCAACATAATCTCCTCCAAGGCTGATACATTTCTCATAGCGGTGTTCCAGTCTATTAATGCCATCTCTATAGACTGATTCGTCAAGCTCCTCAAAATAACCATTTACAGCTTCGATTACTTCTTCATTGTCCGCAAATCTCTTACCGCCA